TTAAAATTAAACGGCATTAAATTTTCTTTGATGTGACAAACGGCGAGCCACGTGTTATACCACCTTTCCTGACTACTTTTAATTGACGTGACAGTAAAGGTGTAGTGGTCGGTCGACCTGGTGGGTGGTCGGCCACTCGGCATTTACTCCAACGAACCGTTTGGCCTCACTTCCCTTTGTCTTACCATTTTGTTTCTCCTCTAGTGCACCGTTCTACCTCAGTCACTCTTCTGTCTTCCGCTTACCGCTCGGTCTTTTACTCACCTCTCTGTCTTACACCCACACACTTAATTGTTCGGTTCTGCACACAAACACACACTTAACCGTTCGGTACTACACACTTAATCGTTCGGTTCTGCTCAAAAACATACAATTAATCGTTCGGTCCTGCACACTCACACACTTAACCATTTGGTTCTTCCTATTCACACCACTAACTGTTCAGTCCTGCACACCAGACCGACCACCAGACCGAGTGGCCGAGCGACCACCAGGCTGACCACCAGACCTAGTGACCGTCTGAGTGGCTAACCGACCACCAGACCTTTACTGCCATGTCACATAGTAGTCAGGGAAGGTGGCATCAGACGTGGGTTTGTCGTTTGCCACATCACTCAAAAGTTAACGTCGTTCAATTTTAAGGATCAATTATAAGAGTTTCAAAACTAAGAGGACTACAATGAACAAACCTTTCGAATAGGGACTAAACCCAAAATCGCTTGATAGTTAAGGGACTAAAAACATATTTAACCGTTAAAATTATAATGATTTTAACAAGCTTTATTTTAATTCGTTCTCTAGGGCAGAGCAGAACATTTTGCCAACGACTAGATCCTTGAAAGCATTGTTAGTATATGGTATTTGTGTTTTAAGCCTTCTTCGTTTTTTATTAAATAGTGAGTTGTCCTTAAAAAATTCTCTAACACTCAAATTAGTATTGGTCAGAGATTTTGATTAAATCTGAACTGATGTAAAAAGTAAAGTTAAACTAAGATTAAAATAATATCTATAGACATACATTATTGACCATGAGTCTTCATCTAAATGAACTACAATTATAGATCTATTGGCTTAAAGATCCAATGATTAGCTTACTTGTGAGAAACTACACCTATTATTTGTTAAGTCTTCCAACGTGAGGATGTCTTCGACAGACACAAGAAGATATTGATAGGCGATATTCTGACTTAATAAGCAACGTTGTTAACAAAGAATAAATTTAGCCTTTAATGTGGGAAACATAGTACCCAATACATAGTAATCAATGTTTGACTAGGTAATTCATTCCTCATAAAGTATCCAATGTCGTCCTATTAACTATAGCTAGATACCCAGGTAAATAATATCATGTAATTGTCTTAAGTAACTCAACTAAAAGTTGTAATTAGTAGAATTGAATGATCTTTAACTACCTACACTAACACAAACATAGCTTTTAACGTATGTTATTTTAGATAGCGGGAGACGTAAGTTGACATATGTTATCTTTGAACAGAGGTCAATTCACGTCTGTTGCATTTATAGCAGACGTTAATTGATGTTTGGTGTAGACAGACACCGTTGTGAGGGTAAGGAGAAAAACGCGCACAATAACCATTCAAAAATTGTCGCCCCAATTGTCCTAGAATGCGCCCAAGAACTGAACCAAAAGCCAATGAAAACGAATTTTAATCGGTGTAAATGAAAGATAATGGTTCCAAAGGTAATATAATCAGTGCAAAATGATTTTAAATGGTGCAAAGTGGAAGAAAACTTACCTGGACGTTAATGGCGAACGAGAGAAAGCACAGGAAGAAGATGAACACAACTAGAGAGAAAACGCGTAACTAACGAACGCGAACGAAGAAAAAACTCAAATAAAAACGCGAAAGAAAGTGAGGTTCACATTCTGATTTTTGGGGTTTAATAAGGCAATTGACGTCGGCCCCCCTCTAGATCCAACGTCTAATTACTAAAAAAATCCATTTTTACGCTACTTTTGAGATATTTTCGCAACTTATTAACCTATGGGGAAGGGGATCCGACGTTTAATGTGTATTAGACGTCGGCCCCTTCTACGTTCGACGTCTAATGTCTGCAAAAGTGACCTTTCAATTCTGATTTTATAGCTTCAGAGGATTTGACGTCTGATCTGGGGGCACCGACGTTTATTTTCAGACCTTTTTGACTAGAGGGCCCAACGTCCAAAAAAGGATTTGACGTCTGATTTGGGGAGCTTGATGTTTATGTCGTAAAAAAATTGATATTGGCGCCTAAAATGAGATATTTTCGGACCTTTTTGATGCCTGATCTGGGGTCCCAATGTCTAAAGAAGGATTTGACGTCTGATTTGAGGAGCTCGACGTCTATGTCATATAAAAAATTGATATTGACACTTAAAATGAGATATTTTCGGACCTTTTTGACGTCTGATTTGGGGGCCTGACATCTAAAGAAGGATTTGACCTCTGATTTGGGGAGCTTGATGTCTATGTCATAAAAAAAATTGATATTGGCGCTTAAAATGAGATATTTTTGAACCTTTTTGACGTCTGATCTGGGGCCCGACGTCTAAAGAAGGTTTTGAGTCTGATCCTGGAAGAACCGACTTCTATAATAACGTTTTATTTACAAAAATGTCACCTCATTTTTTACGTTGAATTTTCGATAGTCTGTCTAACGCTAAAGGTCATTTCTGCACTAGTGTACAATACAACATTGAGTTTTAAAGGATTTAAGAGAGATTGGAAGACCAACAAGATTTACAAATAAAAAAATCATTTAAGAATGCCGCATACGTAAATAAAAAATTATTAAATTTAGAAATCAAATTTTGTTAATTTTCTACTTTAATGTTATACTTTCATATACTCTTTCTTAAATGATTTTTTTATTTGTTTATTGTTGTGATAGTTAACCATAGACATATGATTTGTATCCTATGATGTTACATTTGTTTTTCAAAAAAGAGAATTCTTATATTGTCAGGTGAAATACTTAAAATGTAGTGTTGTGATCTTAAATGCGGAATAAGAAAGGACTATTCTTGAATCTAGATGTTGGATCAGCTTGAGTATGATAAAATAATTATAAGGTTTAATGTCTCAATAGGTCCCTATTTTTGTTCAGAATTTGAAATAGGTCCCTTTATTTTTTGGCGTCTCAATTGGGTCCTTATTTTTGTTAATTTGATGCAAATAAATCCTTTCCGTCAATTTCATCAAACGGCGTTAATGAATGTGTGACGTGGCCTGAGGACAGTATTGACACGTGTAAGGCCACGTCACACATTCATTAACGCCGTTTGATGAAATTAACGGAAAGGATTTATTTGCATCAAATTAACAAAAATAAGGACCCAATTGAGACGGCAAAAAATAAAGGGACCTATTTCAAATTCTGAACAAAAATAGGGACCTATTGAGACATTAAACCTAATTATAATAAGTGTCAATACAACGTCTTTTAAAGCATATACTTCTTTCTAAATTAGCCACCAAATGTAGTAGTATTCTTGAAAGTGGAATTGCTTTTAGCATTATAGGTTGTTCTAATTTATAAGTTGTTTTAGTTTTGTGCATTGTTATAATTTTATACGTTATTCTAATTTTGTATGTTGTTTTAAATTTATTTTCGCCTAAATTAACCACCAATTGTAATAGTATCTCATAATTCGGTTTATTTAAATGCAATCTTGACCTCCATTAAAAATTAAGAGAATAAAAATGATTAAAAATATAAGTTAACATTATAAATAAGTATGATTTATCTATAATTTATATTTATAATATTTAAAGATAATGGTATTTTAAGCATATGTTAAATATAAGTTATACTTAAAGATAATACCAATTTTATCAATATTTATTTAATATTATAGATAATATTTGACTTTAGATTTAATAATAAAATGTTGTTAATTATTTTAAAGAACAGCTTGTTACACACTTTTAATATAAATATGCACAATATATTATTTGTTAAAAAAATTTATAATTTATAATGTACAGATTATTTTATTTTAAAAATATTTTTTACTAAAATTTTAAAGTCTGTATCAAGGTATATGGTCCATGTGATTGAATAGATTAATTTTATAATTACGTATGTACTTTGTTCTACATATGTTCAGTTATGCTTCAACAACTAATTGAGATATAGTAATTAATGTATTACATTACATATGTTTGATTATATCTTGGTTCCTTAAATTGAGATACAGTGATTACATATGTTCAATTACACCTCTGAATCGAGATATATTCAATTACACTTTAGTCACCTGGGTCAAGATGTAGTCAGCCTACGTATAGGTAAGCTCTGCTAGAGTTATTACGGCTTCTACCTTGAATACATTCTTAGGTTTTATAAAACTTGTACTAGATATCATTATGATCATACATCTCTGGTATGCCGAGACTTCAACATGAAAATATTATTAAAAAAAATACAAACAACTCATGAAAACCAAACCAAAATCCATGAACAAAAAGCAAATCAGCTATAAAGTTATACACAATCTAACTAGCTTATACATAGGAAAACAGAACCTATTATGATAAAAATCCGAACTTATAAAAGTTGCCATATTGGTATACCATTTGAACACATCTCTAGAGGAAATGCATAAACTCAAAAACTTGTATTCCCAATAATTTTCTTTCCGAAAAATATGAGATATTTTAAAATCAATACCACTACAAAATTTTACGCATTTCCTGCAACCATCTCTGATAAATCACGATACAACCTCTTTAAGAGAGAAAGGTTACAAATCAAATTTGAATCACATTCGAATCAGAATCTTCTAAATCTGACACTTCTAGCATATGCAATGGCATGGATAGCTCCCATAAGCTCGGAGAAAAAAACGCATTATAGGGGAATACAATTCCTACATGATCTCTTGGTTTCTTATTCTCCAACAAAAATGCATAAAATTGGATCCTCTTCTGTATTAGGTAATCTTAATTCTCTCTTACGTGATAATCTATTTGCATAATCAAATTGACGTAGACATGTTATCAACTTCTTTCTGTATAAACTTGTGCGTATGCATTACATACAGAACAACAGACCATGTAACAAACACTATAATTCATTGTGAAAACATGCAGTAAGCAGTTATTACGTTCTTTTACAACATCAAGAACCTACAAAACAAATACTCTGCCCATGGTATAGACTCGCTACCAATCTTATCAGCTACTATCATCATTTCTGTCTATCCCTCTAAGGCAGAATATTTTCCTCTACCAGTAAAATACCAAATAAGATCTAAAGTTCTATTTTCTTCTATCCTTACAAGGACCATAAGATTTACTACAATAGATAAAATATATAAAATTTAGAAAGCTCAAAGCACAGATTAAACAATAGTAGCTGTCATAATGACCCTTGTTAATGTTGCTTGAAATCCAACTCTCATGTCCTCCGCCTCCACTAACCCTGTCCACAACACTCAGAATGAAACTTGCTACCAAACTTGCAAGAGAAAATCCAAGGCCATTAAGACTGGAAGCAAGACTAGCCATAGATGAAGGTAGCTCATTGAGGAAAAACTCATTCTGTCCTATTACATTTGAGCACTCAGCCAATCCATTAAGGATTTGGCGAGGCAAAAGCCACAAAGCAGACATGTTCACCACAGCTTCTGGTTGATCTGAGTAGCCTTGCTCAATGGCAATTTTTCTTCTAATGCTCTCTACAATCACAAGGGATGCAATTGATAGGCAGCTAGTAAAAAGACCAACTCCTATCTTTTTCTTTGCTCCTAACTTTGCTGGGTACCCTCTTATCTTTGATACCACAGGGACTAAAATGCGGTCATAGATTATAACCCAGAGAACCAGAGCTACAATCATAAATGACACAAAGGAGCCTGCAGGAATTTCAAAATTTGGAGTGATGTGGCGGTTCATGGAAGATGCCTCTAGTACCAGAAAGGAACCTTGACTCATGTTCACACCCATCATGATTCCTGTTGACCATATTGGAACTACCTTGACTAGTGCCTTCAGCTCTTCCACTTGCTCCACTGTGCAAAGATTCCATGGATTCCTAGCTCTTCCCTCTGGTGTTAAATCTTGTGAGGGATTTCTAACTATGCATGCTTTGTTCAGAAACCTGCCAAACAAAGTCACTGCTTCATTAAGCCTTTTCTCTCGAAAGCATTTTACAAGACCATTCAAGTGAACTACAGATAGAACATATGAACCAAAGAAACAAAACATACCTTAAGCTTTCAGTTGGCATTAGGAGATCAGAACCCTTCTCTTGGTGGTATGTGCCATTCTCGGTCTCCTGGGATAACTGAAGAAATCTGTTTTTGTAAGAGGCAACAAGTACCTGTGCTATACTACTTAGCATGTTCCTTTTAACCTCCGCCATTACATAAAACCGAGAAGCTAAGAAAAATGATACTGTCGCTATTAACATTAGGATAACGGGAATTCCAAATCCCACTGCCCACCCCATGTAATCCTGAATATAGACAACAACAGTTAAACCTATCAGTGATGACATTGAAACAGCAGCATAGTACCAGCTGAAGTAGCTCTCTTGGATTCCCGCATCTTTGTCCCTCTTGGTCAACTGATCAACACCAAAGGCCAAGGAGGATGATCTTATGCCTCCAGCTCCAACAGACATTAGGGCAAATGAAGAATGCAATATCAAAAATTGAATTGTTGTAGGAGAGTTATTGCAGCTGTCGTTTAAAAATCCCTCACAAAGTGGCTTTGACATAGGAATCAAAGTTGTTAACCATAGAAGAACCATCCCCTGCACAGCCCCAACACAAACAAGGTTCAGAAAACAGTTCTAATTAACTGATTTTATGCATACTCTCACACAGTACACCATAGTGTTGGCCACTAATTATTATTTTAGTTCATCAACGCTGTTGCCGTACAAATTTAACACAAGAAAACAAAGCTATCGGTGACTGAAAGGAGACAAACATTATATCACAGGCAAGCATTTAAAAAAGCAGTCATTATGTTTTATCCTTTACAGTTGCAACTTGGCAGAAATCACATTTCTCAGCAATTTCTTGAAATGAAAAGTATCGTGACAAAGCTATAACCGAGCTTGCAATTAAATAAAACTTTGAACACAAGAGAAGAGAAAGAACATTACCAGTAGGCTTGCAACAGATCCAAAAGCGATCATGGAATATCGCCCCACATAGGAGTCTGCAAGGACAGCACCGATGAATGGGGTGAGATTTGAGACAGCAGACCATAGTAGGAGAAAATTGGTGGCTCCTGC